TCCTAATGCTCTCATACCACATCTTGTTATACTCTGCTTTCCATGGGGACAGCTTGCTTGTTGTGCCTTTAACGTTGTTTCTTTTAGGGAATGTAATTGTCTGGCCACAGTGTCTTTGTTGGAAAAAGTTAAAAAAACTCTTAGAATGTAATCCTGATTGATCCTTATGAAAAACAGAATTTAGGAGAACTGGTATATACACCTATCTGACAAAACGCAGTCTTACGCAGAAATAACCAAAGTTGCACATAAATATGATGTTTCTTTATGGGGTAAAGAAACTGCCATGACAGCACTGCAATATTGTGCCCATATTAATTGGCACAACAGTGCAATGTAACTACTCTGATATGATCTGATACGAATACTTGGTTTCTTCTTGTTCAGCATCTGTGTTGGGTTTGTGTGAGTGGCAGGGTTTTTGGTAGTGGGGGAGGGGGCTACAGCAGTGGCCCCTGTGAGAAGCTTCTCGATGCTGCCCCGGCTCCAAGTTGGACTTGCTTCTGCACCAAGGCTGAGCCAATTAGCAACAGTGGCCATGTCTCTGCGATAATGTATTTAAGAAGGGGAACCTGGTAGGAGGGGTTGGAATTGTGAGGAGAGGTTTCAAGGAGGCCACTGATGTGAACACTGAGGTCAGTGGAAGAAAGGAGGAGGAAGGGGGGAAGTGTGCCAGAGCAGGGACTCCCTTGTATCCTGTGGTGGGATGGCAGGGCCACCCCCCTGACACCATGGAGGTCACTGGTGGACCAGATGCCCACCTGCAGCCTGTGGAGGATGCCACACCAGAGCAAGTGGCTGCACCCGAAGAAGGCTGGGACTGTGTGGGAAGAAGCCTCCATGGCTGTAGTTCGACGCTTGGAGGATTTCAACACATGGAAGCGATCCACACTGGAACAGCTAGGGAAGTGCTGCAGCCTGTGGGAAAGACTCATGTTGGATAAAGTTTGTGGAGAATTGTCTCCCGTGAGAAGGGAATCATGCTGGAGCTGAGGGAGAATGTGAGGAGTCCTCCTCCTGAGGAGGAAGAAGCAGCAGGACTGACTGCACCCCCCCATTCCCTGCCCCCTGCGTCAGTGGGGGCAAGGAGGTAGAGCTATCAAGAGCAAAGCTCAGCCTGGGAAGAAGGGAGGGGTGAGGGGAAAGTGTTTTTAAGATGTGGTAGTGCTTCTTACTGTCCTACTCTGTTAAGTGGTAGCATTAGTGTCTGAATTAAATTTATGTTCTTTTTCTTCCCCTAATGAATCTGACTTTTGCCCATTATCATAATGGGTGAATCATCCCTCCTTATCTTGACTCCTGAGCCTTTTGCTTTATTTTCTCCTTCCCTGTCCTGACAGGGAAGGGGTGATTGAGTGGCTGTGTGGTGTTTGGCTGATGGCCAGGTTTAAACCATGACAGCATCTCATTGAATTTTACAATAAAGACAGGATGTTATATAGTAAGGAAACTCTCCTGGACCTTTTATTTAGACTTCTTTTTTTTTCCCCACAATATTCTTCCACCTAGTAAACTTAAAGAATTATACTATTTGCAATTACACAGACCATTTTCTCAGACAGTGTAAATTAGAGGACCAGACAGGTTTATGTCCCTTAGGTTTCCCTCACTTTCTCTGTTAAATTACCACATGACTAAAAGATCACAGATTAAAGCAAAGTCAATTTTCACCTACTGGTATTAACACCAAGGAAAGCTATTTGATGCTCTTCACTCCAGGAACCCTTTTTTTCCCACTGGGATGAAAAGTCTGATCAGATATTTCAGTAATATAAAAATAACTTTACTGACTTGAGTATTTGACTCCTAATAGGAGAGGAAAATGTCATGTCTTCACCTCTGCATTTGGAGGAAAAAATTATTTATCTAAATTAATAGAAGAAGCTTCTTATCCCTTGCCCATTTCAGAGTCCAAGAGCTCTGCATATACAAGATTTTATTAACACAGAACATGACCTTTCCATATAAAGGAGAAAACCACCTTGACAGAGGTAAAGCCGCTCTAAAAAAATCAGTCCTGTATTATGATTCAGAACAATTCCTTAGCCAAAGTGGAAACATGAGTGCTAGTCCTCTTTCCATTACTGCAAGTGGCAGAAATCCTACTTATTTCAATCATACAGGAATGGCTTCATCATGCTAACATTAACAAAGCCATCAGTACATGGCAATGGGGGTGATTTTTGTTGTTCAGTGATATTAAATCTCAAATAAATTTATGTTATGAATACCCTGGGAAAGCGAGTATGATTTCCTTCTTAAGCAGTGAAAACATTGAGGAATGAATTGCACACTCACAAGGCAAATTTGTCTCCTTGAACAGAAAGTTAAGCCTTTGAAAGCAGCACATTTTAAACTTTTGCTGATATATCATGTCCAGATTTGTTTCTTGTCAGTATAGGTTATGTCATTCATGGAACTGGCAAAAATACTTCATTATATATGCACACACAGTAGGTGTTGAGTCCGAGGAAAAATCATCAAGTTAGGCTTGATGCTCCTCTTCTGCCAATATTTCCTACTATAGACCTGGCTTTTGAACATCTACAGAAATTTCTTGACTCCTTTGAAAATATTCTGAATATTAAGAGAACACATGCTTACCAAACCATGGTATATATGTACTATACCAGTATTATACAGTATACTAGTTTATATAATAATTCAATACATTATTTGGAGCTTTATAATGCATCTGAACCATATTTTCCAGCAATATTAAGGAAACATGATCATTACTATGGTTCATGCATGATCTGTTATGGTAAAAGCTGTAACAAATAACTTTGTAATTTGCAGCTATATTATAGTGTTGAAAGGGCCACAGTCCATAACCATACAGTTCTACTTGTCACCTAAGTGTCCTTCTGGATTCCTCACCAATGCTGGCTTCTCTCACACCAGCTGTGCAGAGCTTTCAGCTTGCTGTGGATGGAAAGGTCTGTAGTTCTGCATCTCCTGCAGCAACCTCAGCCCAGCTACTCTGCTTTTCTGCAGACTGTTCACAAGTACTCCTGGGGCACAGACTCTTCCGAGTCAGACAATTTCTGAACGTTGCTTCTGAACGTTGCTACATACCCTTTTTGACAAATCTGGCTTGTCCTTCACTTCCTTACCCTGGATTTCCAGAAAATGCCAAATCACCTTTGGGCACAAGATGGTTGTTACTCCATCTGGGAAAAGGATGTGAAACCCCAATGATAACAACAGTTAGCTATTGGTCACGTTTCTCAAATCATGACTGAAAGATTTTCAGACAGTGTAGCTGAGCATGGTTCACATCCCCGTACAATGATGTACCAGTGACAATAATGCAATCTCAAATTTCCATCAAATGTCAAAAGGACATGGACTTAAAAAGTAAAGTCCTTCAGGGCTTAAAGAAAAGTCACCCGAGACACGGAGAAGAGGCTGTGGCAGGCTACTCACTAACTTCAAGAGATGTGAGAGGTATTAACATTTCACTTTGATTTAACAAGGCTTAGAGACCTTCACACTCCTTTGGTTGAGAAAAGGAAAACCAAGTTTGCTGAGCACTGTAATTTGCTTTATTTACAGTATTGCCCATCTTTTGATCAGTATAAACTTATTAACTAACTTTAAAAAGGTGGTTGAGAAATTTCAAGACTCCCAAAACAAAAGAACCCTCAAAATTTAAAAGATAAAAAAGCAAATGCTAAAGCTAACATCCAATGTCTGCTTTAACAGTGGCAAAGACAGGTAGCTGTTAGGTTGAAAAGGGCAACTAAACAAAAAGGAAAAATCTTGCAAGATATTAAATCTGAGGGTATTGGATGAACATTTTAAGGTGGCAGTGCCACTGAAACAAGCACCTCTGCTTGCTTTGTCATTGGCTCCTTGTTCTTTCTCTGCATTGCCTCCTGTTTTTGTTGAAACAGGTTTCTCTGAAGTGAGGCAATTGGTAACTGATTTGACTAAAAGTGTTTTGCGGAGAAATCACTCTATAACTTTTGGGGTTATAAAGTGGGTATGTTTATTCAGCGCTGGGCGCATGGGGGATCGCTCCACCACAAGCATGCGCATCGTTTGCAGCTCCCGTCCGGCTTATATGTTACAAAGTAGTGCATATTCATAAAACGCCTATACATATACATAGTCTACCCCTGCCTCCCCTCGCTTCTTATGGTAATCAGGTCTCCTCCTCTTCCTCGCTGATGAACTTTTCTCCTTGTCGCTCTGCGCAGCCTCAGTTGTTCTCTGGCTTTCTTCCAGACCAATGTTTTGGGGTTGTCTGTTTTTCAAAGACTAGGAGGGACTTCTCTTTGGGCTAGGAGTTAATCACCTAGCAATGTTATCAGTACTTGGTATGTCTTTTCGAACAGTCCCATACGCCTCCCCTTGTTTTTGTGCAGGCCTTGCACCAACAATCTAAGATTGTTTAGACTCCCTGTCTCAAAAAGCACTGTTTCTTTTTGCTGGGTTACTTTCCAGCTGGATCAGCATCATAGAATCATATAAAGTTTGGCTTGGAAGAGACCTTAGAGATCATCTAGTTCCAACCCCCCTGCCATGGGCAGGGACACCTTCCACTAGTACAGGTTGCTCCAACGTGGCCCAGAACGCTTCCAGGGAGGGGGCAGCCACAAATTCTCTCAGGCAATCTGTGCCAGTGTCTCATCACCCTCACAATAAAGATTTTCTTCCTTATATCTAACCTAAATCTACCCTCTTTTAGTTTGTAACTGTTACCCTTCATCCTATCACTACACTCCCTGATAAAGAGTCCCTCTCCAGCTTTCCTGTAGGTCCCCTTTAGGTACTGGAAAGCTGCTGTAAGGTCTCCCTGGAGCCTTTTCCAGGCTGAACAGTCCCAGTTCTCTCAGCCTGTCTTGACAGTGGAGGTGCTCCAGCCCCTATATCATCTTCATGGCCTCCTCTGGACCCGCTTGAGGAGGTCTATGTCTTTCTTATATTGGGGTCTCCAGAGCTGGACACAGTACTCCAGGTGGGGTCCCATGAGAGCAGAGGGGGAGAATCACCTCCCTTGACCTGCTGATCACGTTCCTCTTGATGCAGCCCATGATATGGTTGGCTTTCTGGGCTGAGAACACACATTGCTGGGTCATGTTGAGCTTCTCATTAACCAACACCCCCAAGTCCTTCTCTGCAGGGCTGCTCTGAATCTGTTCTCTGTCCAGCCCATATTCATTCATGGGATTGCCCTGATCCAGGTGCAGAACCTTGCACTTGGCCTTGGTCAGCTTCATGAAATTTGCATGGGCCCACCTCTCAAGCCTGTCAAGGTTGCTCTGGATGGCACATCCCTTCCCTGCAGCTTGTCAGCTGCAACACACAGCTTGGTGTCATTGGCAAACTTGCTGAGGGTGCAGTCAATGCACTGTCCATGTTACCAAAAAAGATGTTAAACAATGCTGGTCCCAACACCTACCCATGAGGAATGCCACTCGTCACTGCTCTCCGCGTGGACGTCAAGCTGTTGACCACCACTTTTTGAGTGTCACCATCAAGACAATTCCTTATCAAAATGTTACCTAAGTAAAATCGTATGTTTGAGTAAGTGCCTAGGTTACACTATTCAAATGACTACACTTGTCACTACAGTGACACTATTCAAGTTAGCATTAGATATACTGCATTTAAATCTTCTAAGGAGGACAGGGAGTCATGGATTTAGTATGTAAACCTTTACTATGTAAGTTACTATATAAGTTATACTTTTCATAAACAATGCAGGCCTTACTAACAACTATGCCCTTGAAGAGAAACTGAAAGATGGATAAAATGGGAACATCCTGCCCAGAAGATGCTGAAATTTGAGTAATTGCAACAGAAGTATAAAGTCAGCAAAAATCTGTGGTAACTATGGGAAAGGTAAAGAAGGCAGGGGGAGATAGCAACCACCAACTCAATTTAAGACCAAGATGTGCCCCCTTCATCCTTTGAGTTTGCGCAGAATAATTATAAAACACTATAACTTTAAATTGAGAAGAGGCACATTGTAAACCAATGAAGGAAAAAGTTATAAGAAACTAACCAATGGTTATTACAGTAAATGTGTATTTGTGTAGTTTGAAGTGTACAAATACACCAAAGTCCTTTTGTGTGGTGTGCTAGCTTTGTGGAATTACACCTAGCACCCATCTTTGTGCAAACATGAAATAAATAAAATACCTCTGCTCTGTGTGTATATTGGCACATTGCACACAGAGTAAACAACCCTGCTTGTGGGACAACACACCGAGTGGTCCATCCATCAAATCCATGTCTCTCCAATTTAGAGACAAGAATGTTAGGTGGGACAGTGTCAACAGCTTTGTACAAGTCCAGGTAGATAATGTCAGTTGCTCTTCCCTTATCCACCAATGATGTAACCCTGTTGTAGAAGGCCACCAAATTTTTCAGGCACGATTTGCCCTTAGTGAAGCCGTGTTGGCTGTCACTAGTTACCTCCTTATTTCCCATGTGTCCTAGCACAGTTTCAAGGAGGATCTGCTCCATGGTCATCCTTCTTCAAGCACAAAAATTACTGTGTTGCCTGACAAATCATGAAGCATGGGAGTAAAAAAACAGTGTTTGGAAAAGTACAGAAGGATTTAATACTGAACTTCAAATATGCTCAGCGTTCCTAAACAAGTTTTGTTATATCTTCTTCCTGCCAGAGCCAACATTTCAAATTTCTTCCATGTGATAAGGCACAAACAAGGCTCTCCTCTCCTGTTTTTCACACTGCAGTTTAGTTGTACTTGAACTAGAATAAAACTCAGCTCACATCTGTGTGACTTACTTTTGCAGTTTTTCACTGAGTTTACAGTAATATACATTTCTTGTCCTAATACAGATTTACGTGGTCTATGCAACCCACAATCTTCTGTTGATCACAAAAAATCCCCAACCTAGAAGAGACTGCAATGCCTGCCTAAATGGTTTAGACTCTTTAAAGGTCTGGTCTGTAGGCACTGGCAGCAGGCAGAATTTAGCAGCGATGGACAGGACAGCATTGAAGCACTCACTTTGATAAGGCAGACAAGCTATGGCATATCATTACTTCATGGCCTTCATTTCATGCTGATTCCATCAATGCGAAACAGTAGTCACAACCCTTATAGACTTGAGAACTGATGTGAAGGTATTTGCCATTTCCACAGCCTGAAGAAATAATGAGGAGGAGAAAGGTGGATATTTGGTGTCTGTGCAAAAGAAAATGTGTTCTTGACATAAGTGATGATGAACGACCTTGAGTGGCCTAATAGCTTGAAATTCTCCACCCATTTTAAAGGAGATACGATTGCAGTGGAATTCAGGTTATTTTTTACCATCACAGTACAATGAGCACAGACTGCTCCTTTCTGTCTAGCAGGCTCTCTGCTGTATGACAGGAGGTGTTCAAGTGGGATTGCTAGAGAGCATTTACTTGGCCTTCCCACCACATATGGAATCAAAAATATTTATGATAATGATGCTACTGCAATTCTGCTTGTAATACACTCAAAATGCTAAGTGAAAGCATGTGTAGTAGGAACACAGCACTGAATTATTTCTGTGTATTGAAATGCTGATAGACAAACTAGACTGCTAAGTAATTAAGTCACTATTAGACCAAACCATTAAATCCATTGTTTGCTGTTTTAACTGCTGCTAATTGCTGTCACCATGACAACAGTGGAGTTTCTTTTTCTGGTATCTCCGCGCAGTTTCCTTTTCATAATGGAGCCTGCGACACGGAAATTTACATCTTCTCAAATTGAAATACTTCTTGTTTTGAAATAAAGGCAGACATCTTTAGATAAGAACAATTTTAGTGTCAGCAGTTAAAAGGATCTTATCTAAATTTTTGATAATTTGTTTGCAGAATTATCTGAATCTTAACACAAAGTGCATTTTAAAGTAGATCATTAATTTTAAAAACTTGACCTCACTTGCATCATAAAAAACATAGTTCCGTTTAAGATCAGGGAGTTAAATGCATTGGGCTAGCATAATACCCTCTACCGCGTGCAGACCTTAGTTGACATGCTGTTTATGGCTACACTTACGCCAAACATTAAGCTTGGGTCAGAGCCCAGTTTTTCTCTCTAATGTATTTATTTTTTAAAAAAATAGTTATTTTGGAGCCTTTCAAATATTTAAGTCCCTGTATTTAGGTTACAGCCATCCCATAGCACCTATTCTGAAATCCTGTGCGGGTCCCTATGTTCAGCATGGAGACTCCGGGACCCATCAATCTGTTATGGCATTTGAATGGGAGATGAATCATTGCTCAGCTGCAGATAGAAGTCTGCTCCTAACTGCTTGTCTAATATTAACTGCTGATCCCATCTCCCAGGAATGAAGGGAAGATATCCAGAGAAAAGCTGGAGCTCTCTCAGTCCTTCCCATGCCTGACTTCAGCACCATCTGAGAAGAGGTGCTGTGAAATGGTGCCAGCACTTGGCTAATACTAGACTTTTTTATTGTGGAAAGAGAAGTACTGTGGAGCTCTGATTGGAAGAGAACTCCAGGACTTTTTCTGGTTTTCACTTTTGGAGGGAAAGGCTCCAGTATAAACCAAACAACAGCCCCTAATACACATCCTCTAATCCGACACCAGAGGCTGCTTCCCAGGGATGGAGGGGCAGATGAGACCCCTGCAGGTAGACTCTTCTCCAGTGCTGTAGCACCACTCTTGGCAATTGTGTTTCACACAGAACTTGTCTCTGGCCACAGACCCCACAACGGCATGCCAACAGCCTCTGCAGGCCAAAGCCCAAGAGCCAAGCTTGAGCTTAAGTTACAGTGTTAACCAAGCTCGAAGTCTGTGACATTGGTAAAAATTCAATGTGCTGGTTCTTCGTACACATTTTATTTGTTCACACTGAAAACACCACAAAATCTGGCAGGAATATAGTTCCCAGTATTTAGACTGTGATAAACTGGGAAAAGTATATGATAAAGTTTGAACGACTCCCCAAAGTTAGTGTGATTAGCCCAACCCTCATTAATTTTTCTCTTTCACAAACTTTCTCATGCTATAGTGGGGAGACTACACATATGTGTTGCTGGAAAGAATTTCAGGTTCAAAACTCTATTTAGAAGTCTAGCCTAAACATGTAGAAATGATGAGTTAATGCCCAGATCTCATCTGGGCAACCAGCATGTATCCACTTCTGGTGCATATGCTAAAGCCAGTACAGAGGCTTCCTTTGTACCATTTAGACATTCTCAAACCTTTGGGGTACTAAAAACTGTCACACATTGTTCCCCAAAGCACTCAGGACAGCATCATGATACTTGCTTCAAATTAGCCACACACAATATATGTTGTAAGAACTAAACAAGATTGCAAATTCCAGAATTATCATATCAGTACACAACATTAGCATCCACCAATGACATCTTCAGAAATTTAGCTTCAGTTTAGTTGACCTAGTGGATACTGGGAGAAGTCAAATTGTCTTCATATGACTATGAATGGTGAAGTATGAAGCAAACTTGATAGTCAGTCTGCCAATTTCAATTCCCTGGTTTGATTCACAGGCTCCAAACCCTTCTGCCACAAATATGGCTTGATAGAAAGAGAGGACATACTTAGACTGTCATTAGCAATGTGACAGACAAACCCACTCACCAATATCAGCAATCAGGCTGCCTGGTTCCTGCTGTGAAATGAACTGCTGCACCTTTGGCCATGCCTTGTAGCGTGTGTCACTGAAGTAAGAAGCAATTTTCTCATATACACTATGAATGTGATCCCTCTCAAGTTGGCTTGCCTCCCTCTCCATTACAATCAAGCTATGCTAACTCACTGAAGGCAGTGCATCTGTCCTAGAGAGAGGGAAGGGAGAAAAATAAGCACTGAAACTCTGTTACCAAAGTACATTTCCTTAAGTTAAGCAGTATGACATTGTTTATTCAAGAAACGGTATTTTCAAATACTATGTTGCAATTAAAGAGAAATTGCTGAGGCTTTTAGAGGAAGAAAGGCCATCTAGTCTATGATTTTATACAATATATTGTTGTCTTACATAAATCTGGAAAGAATTTTAAGACCTACCACTCAATGTTTATTAACTTGTTTATATTGTTATACTTTGGAAGTTGTTAACTTGCTGCAAGAAGTCTTCCACCCTTTTTCAGTCTACCCTTGAAAAAGATATTTCATAAGAAGTCCTTTGTTTACAGACACATCTTAAAAACCAACTGAAAATGATGATGAATACCAAAAGCTGCTTAGACTCTGAAACAAAAGCTCCGAGAGGCATCATTTCTCCTCCGCTTCATTCAGCACCCAGAAAGATCCATGCTTACAGATTTTCCATTGCACAATTCATTGACACTGTGTGTTACTATGAACAAAAAAATCTTTCCAGCTTTCCAAGCATCCTTTTTTTTCAGCTGTTCTGGATTGGCATGGTGCAGTGGTATTAGCAATGCCCCCAGGAAAACTCTGTGATATTGTGAATAGCCTATTGCATCCTAAGTCATTGTTCAGTTCACCATGAAACTTTGTACAGAAGGCTGTAAAAATTGTAAGCTTCATTGAACATATGCTGGCTATGCCAGGATTTCCATCGATTTACTGAAGGTTTGGGCCACCAAGACAGGCTGCTCCAGTTCCACTCCCATGCTATAAACAACCTCACACAGAATACCTTCTCCTCTGCAGCAAAGGTATCAATGACAGCACCTCAGCCAAGGTGTCTGCACTGCAGGCTGGCCATTAATCTGACTCCTGATACAGTCTTTATCCTGGTCCTTATTTTCAAACCCATAAGCATTTAAAATTCTGTCAACTCAAAAGACTACTGTTCTGTGATTTCCTAGGCAATTACATCAAAGAGAAACACTCGAGCAGACTAAGCTCAAGTTCAGTCCTGCAGCAGCAGCAAGAAACTAACTCTGGAAAGGTTTTGGTTATGTCACTTATTGATTTGAAAAACTGTGCTAGGATTAAATCCTGTAGAACTTGGATGTCTTCTGTCATACAAGATACTCAGCATCACTGGGAAATTGCCCGGACTTCAAGTCTCCTGAATATCCTGCCCAGATCAAAGTGATGATAACCACTGGAGTGGGGTGAAGAACTTCTTTGGAAGATCATCGCTGGTCTCATCATTATATGTGGTGTTAAATAACCGCCACTTTAGAAACACAGCTAAAAATAAAGACAATGAATGTGAGTTGCCTTGGTTTAGTTTCTCCTGCACCGCAATGCTTCTTAGCTTCTAGTGAGATTTAAAGTCTTCACCTTGTAAGCACTTATACAGGTGTTTAACTTTGTGCATGCAAATAATCCCACTGACTGAACCCAGTGGGGATATTCCAGGTACAGAGTTCACCGCATGCATTACTGCATACCAGACTGGTTCTCCAAGGTAGAAGGATTATTTTTTGTTGCTCTTCATTATAACCAAACTCTGTTTTAGAAGCCAGTTTTTAAAAAATACCTTCAGAACCCTCCCCGTTGAAACAGCTAAAGTGCTCTACTGGGGATCATTTCAAGAGGAAGCTGATGTACTATCAAATATACAGGGAAAGGCAGAAGGAGGCAATAGGAGAGGAAAATTGTTCTTTGGAAAAGCTGCAACATCATTTCAAAGCTTTGCTATTGCTTCATTTGACAAGATGAAATAGTAACTGGTGAATAGATATAAGATCACAGAAGTAAAGAGAACAGAGATCTTTCTGTTTAATTCCAGGCTTACACTCAGGATCATTCACTTTTAGGCAGAGAGACAGCCTGGAAGTTGCTACCAGCTTGAGACACTTAATTACCAGGAAAAGAAAGAAGGTGCATATGAAAGCACCTAGCAAGAGAAACCACATAGTAAGACACTCTTTCAAACTAAGGCAAAAAAATGTTTAAATGCAGAAAGCCCATTACATGTTGTGTGTAAAACATTCTCTCCTCTGGGAGAGGAACAAAAGAGATGTAACAGGGGCCATCCCACCTAGAATTAAGGAAGTCAGTATCTTTTGTTTTAAAACGGTAGCTTCAAGAGTAGGGGCCATGGTCTGGACTCTCTGAAATTTAAAAGTCCAAGTCTACAAGGCACTATTAAATTTTCTATAAGGTTCATATAAGAAAGTAACCCTTGGTGGGGGAGAGGCCTGGAGGAAGAGATCAGTCAGGTCAGTTCCCAGCAAACAGCAGCAGTCATGCTATGGACATTTCTGCCTATAGTAGTCCAGTGAATGCCCATCTCCTACGCTTACTAAACCATAAAACACAAAATGCTTGTCAACACTGCATTTAATGCTTTTAGGATGACAGACCGAAAACCATATAAAATACAGTGCACCAGAGGAAGAGAGCAGAGAGACATTCGAAGGCACAGCCACTAAGTTTACTAAGTAAAAGTGTTCAGACAATCCTAGGAAGCTGGTTATGATGCACATTGCAGAAGCAAGGAAAAAAAACCCCACAACAGAATCAAAAAGCAAACAGGGATGCCCACCAATCTAGCCTGGAGGAAAATAACTTCTGGGAGATTGATTCAGGTTCAAACATACAATTTATACATGCAAATCTGAACCTCAAAGCCTTTCCAGTTTCACTATCATCCCCAACATCATTTCTCTTGTCAAAGGGAAAACCTGAAAAAAACTTGGAAATCAAGCTATGCATCAGAAAAAAAAAAAAAATCAACAACACATTTTCTGCCCAACACAAAATTGGATCTTTAGTGCTGCAAATATCGCACAATGGCATTTTACAGCAGTGTTGTTTGCCTACTTGCATAACAAAGGCCTTGGTGAATGCAGGTACTTCCTTTTGAGCACACTCACTCTTACTTTTATGTAAATTAAAAAAAAATAAAAATCTATTCATCGGGGATGGCAGGAAAGCAAAAAGAAGAGGTACCGAGCAGCAGTTCAGTCTGACTGCCTGTCACCTATTCTTAAGTTAAATTTGACACAACTTGATTGAAAATGAAATTAAATTTGAATTTAAAAGCCATTAAAAACTTCTGAGTTTGTAAGTGATTATTAACCTCCTCAACACTGAAGCCTCTGAATGTTCGTGCGGGATGTAAGCCCCATGCAGGCTGTGCCCCACGCTTGGGGGAGCCCTGACACCCTGCAGCACTGCTCCCCAGGGGGTACCACAGGCAGCTCGTGGTGGTGGTGGCTCTAGCTCCCACATCCAGAGCAGGAGCTCATCATCTGGCTGCAACATGGTGGCTTCTGCTTGTGTTAAGAGTGCGTTAAATTTATCTTAGAATTTAGAAAGAAATTGTTAGGGAGAATAGGTTTTTTAATTCTAAATAATTTCATTCTTTGGGTAATAGTCAATGATGTCAATTTAACTCAGCTGCTCTGTGGTTCAACCTAATAGGAGAGAATAAACTGAATTGGTAATAAGCTTGCTTTTGATGGGGAGAGTCTTCTAGAAGAGAGCTCCCAGATGTAATGAGCAATTCCTGATTTTAAAAAATGCCTATTCTTTCCCTCTGCTCCTGAGCACTTGCAGGTGTGGAAGGAGCCGCAGGACATGGCTGTGCAGCAGCTCTCGCCAAGCTCAGCCTGGTGAGTTGAGAGCATCTCTGTCATGGTCCCTCCGACCCCTCTGGAGCCCCATGGAAGAGCTGGCGGGAGCTCAGGAAAAATGGGGCTGGCTCAGAGACACGTCCCAGCACCACTGAGCCCTCCCTGCCATTGGCCAGAGAAACAAAACTGGAGTTGCCAAACTGAGCTGGGCTTCTTCAGAAACAAGATTAGCTTAAATTTTGCAGTAATTAGTGCCAGCAAATAACATAACAGCTGGTTTATCATGGCTGATAATCCAAACCAATAACTGCAGGAACACACTATTTCTAATAGCTATGAAAGAGACAGTGGTGCTTTCCTCCCCTTGGTTAAATGAGTATTTTTGTGACAATATTTTTGGAAAGCCTGCTTAATTCTCCCTCTCTGCACCTCCTGCACCATCATCATTCCCACCTTTTACACAAACATTACATTGTGACTGCATTGAAATAGATTTCCTGTGAAGTGCCTAATTTGTGTGTGAAACACTGCAAGTATTCAGCTGGACCTTGGTAGGGTCCCTTTAGGGACCTTCAGCAAGTTTTGTTCTTCCATCACCAGCAACAGCCACAACAAGAGCACTCTGCCAGTCAGACTAACAGTCCCTACTCCTGTGAAGCAGATAAGAAAAGAACAAGAGAGGAAAACCTGTAAAATTGGCCTTAAAGCCCTTGAACTATGGTTCCCATGAGGTATCAGGATCTGGGGAAGGACTGATTAACAGAAGGGGAAATGCAATATGGGGCACAGAGGGGCTGGGAGAAAAGGAGAAATGAAAGAAGCTAGATGGGAAGAAAATGATAAAAGGGAATTTTATAAATAATAAAGAGGGAAAATGAGTACAAGCAAGTAAGGAAATGAAAAGGAGGAGAAAAAACAGAAAAAGAATAGGGGATAAAAAAGCAGACATGTAGAGAAGAAACTCCATGTTAGTATTTTAATTAGATGGCCTCAATGCATTTTTCTCAGATACCATGAAGCACAGGCACAGCATCACAATTTGATGGTTAATCAGCCATTTGGGGATTCCTCAGAATTCTGTATTAATATTACCATAGCGCGGTGAAACCTTCCCACAGATTCCCAGTTCCTGCAGCACATCCTACTGGCCTTTTATTCACCCTTTAACAGGTCTGAGAGGCAGCAGAGCTGCATCTCTTTAACCCTCCTAGAGCCACTGGCAGGCACAGTATAAGGTCGGTACATGCCTTATTGATCTCCCCCCGCATCGCAGGTGCTGCTGGGGAGGTGG